CCGTAGTGGATATGGAATACAACATATCCAAATTAAACAGCTGATAATTCCGCCGGGAAGGGGTTAAATTGTGGTGTCAAAGTCAATGAGTTGAGGTGCGATGTTTGATGGGGTAAGCCATCAACCCAACCAGACCCAACTATATATATATATTTTCACCTAGGCAACGGAGCGGTGCAAAGCGGTGCAAGATCAACAAAGTAAATAAAAATAGCAAAACATATAAGAAAACTGAAAGGCTTCATTCTGGAGTGATTTTAACCACAGAAAAACAAACATTCACACCAGATCAGATCTGTCAAGTTTCACACAAAGACACTGAATGAAGGAAATATATATATATTCAATGCACAAGACAGACCCAACATCGACATGGAACATCAATTATTTATCCACTGTGAATCATACCTCATTATCATATGCCGCCGGTGCAAGCACGCTGTGTGGCCAACAGAGATTGAACGGCATCTGAAAGGCAAGGCCCATCAGCTAAAGCATGCGGTGGTTCAGCAGATAAAGGAGAACATTGAACAGTGGGACAATGTGGCTCGAGATACTACACAGTTAACACTGCCCACATACTACACAGTTAACACTGCCCACAATACTGAATGAACCAATCCCGGAACTACCCATTCAAGATGGCTACAGGTGCCAGCGGGATCCCCAGTGCCAGTATGTGGCAGGGAACATGAACACCATGCGCAAGCACTGGCAGAACAAGCACAGCTGGTCGCCATATCCCAGCCGTGGCCGTACAGCGCCACAAAAGCGTACGGCAGCACAGGATGAGGTGGACAGATCATGCCAGAAGGTGCAGTTCCAGCAGATATTTGCATCGCGCAAGGGCTCCCACTACATACAGATCCAGACTAAGGAGACTACTGAGCATACCGGCACGCCAGACCAGAACAGAGCCAGCCAGGCCATTGATGAGCTGGAGCGATTTTACCAGGAACAGCAACGGCAGACCAGCAATGTCATCCAGGCCGGGGAGCACGATGAAGCCAACCCATGGCTGCGGCGGACCAGATGGCCGGTGTACTTGACCAACATCGCACCCAATGATCTGGTCAACTGCGTCCAGCGGCCCGACGATGACACCACGTGCCCAGATGAACTGGCCGCGAGGGCCATCTGGGAGGCCATGGGTCAGGTTGCCCGTACCAGCCAGCGAGTCATCACACGGCTGGGCCACTTCGTCCGCATCGAGGCCATCCGCACAGAGCGACACCAGACCCGGCACACCCCGTTGCAGGCGTACATGGACGAGGAGAGCATCGCTGAGCACGTGAGGCCATGGCAGCAGATGTTGATGTTTTTCGCCCGAACGCAGGTCGAGCATGAATGGACGAGCCCACAGTACCGGTTCACACCACGGCAGCGCAAGACATGGAGGGTATTATGGCAGGTAGCCACCACAGAGGGAGCCGACCAGCGACACCCCATCAGCCCAGACCCCATGGATGAGCAGATGACTGAGGAAGAAGAAGAGGAGGAGGAGGTGGTGGTGGTGGAGGAGGAGGAGGAGAAGAGACAGAGAGATACCCAGTCAGAAGAAGAAGATAAGTTCAAATTAACCAAGATGCAGATGGCATGTTTGGATTTTTGCATTGAGCTGCTGAACCAGCGGGTTCAGGTGGAGGATTATGAGTGCGCGCTGGTAGACGCGTTGGCGGTGCTGGGACGGGGGGAGTATGAATGGTGCGACGCGGAGAGCTACCCACCAATGTTGTCACGGATCATCAAGA